TGAAAGTTAAATCTGTTCTGTTTTTGGTTCAGGCACAATATTTCATCATAAATAGCGGCGGACACTTTTTGAAACACATTATGGGGGTAGTAGGTACCTTTGAAAATTTAATATTATAACTATTTTCATTCAAAAGTAATCAGTAATCTATGAAGAGAAGAGTTGAAATTGTTACTTTTCCCTGGGACGCAGACGAAAACCCAACGTAACTGGCAGCGACAGTATAAAGTCATAGTGAACGTATTTTTTTGTATAAAATCTTTCGTAATTATATTTTAATAGTCTTGAACTGAATTGTCTCTCGACATTTCTCTCGGCTATATATTTTTTCATTGTGAAATTTTTATTTTTTTCACATTAAACGAATTAATGGATATCTCAGTAACTACAGATAAGTCTACTAATACTTCACTCATGAAAAAATTTGACTCCAGTGAGAAAGTCATAGTTTTCGAGTTGTTTTTAAAAAGAAAAAAATGATAAACTTACTTAATAAATATTCTACAGCAGTAATATTTTTGGTATGTTTTAACTACAACTTCTGATATTTCTATTATTGTTCAAAATATTTTAGAACATCTCAGTGTTATAATGATTATAGATATAGACAAAAAATTTATATCTGTCCTAAACTGTAAAGAGTATAGCGGTAACAAACTAAGAAATACAATCTGCCCCTGTCTGTTTCAAGACTATAATACCATGTAAGATACCATGGAAGTATTTCCTTTCAGAAGACCAAAAATATTTTCAACTCTATATCTTTCTTTTTCAGAATAGTTGCAGAAGGTAAATCCGTAACACCTCTCAACAAAGTTGAACTTTTATCCCCTATTACCAATCCAGACAAAGTTGCCTGTGTGGGACTTAATTATAGTGGACATTGTGAGGAGCAAAATATACCACTACCTCAAGAACCAATGATCTTCAGTAAATTCTCTTCTTGTATCGTTGGACCTTTCAGCAATGTCGAGATACCACCAATCACAAACGTAAGAATTTTTTATGCACCAAAGTCGAAACCGTCAGGCCAATATGTATATTCATTTCATATGCTGCCACCGATATTGGAATAGAATATTTGTTATTAACATTTGTTGGGTATTGAGCCAATAATGGAATTACACTTTCAAGCGATATATATTCATTCAAATGATGCGTTCAATATCTACCCCATATTGATATAACATTATCTATGCTTGAATCAAAATGAAATCAATACTGATGTTTTTTAAACTATAACCTTAGAATGATCTCAGAAGTTTAATCCCTGTGTCAAATGTTCCTACATATATATGAATAATATAACACCAAAAATGCATGCATAAATTGTCATGTGTGGAACTGAATTTGTACATGAGATTGTCAGAAGCGAATATCTACTTTATAAGTAATAAATTCTTACCTTCGTTTTTTCAAGTTTCACAACACATCCACTTACTAACAACTAACAAATAACCTAAAAATTTAATACACATGTCAACCATAAAAAGGCAACTGCTGTGAAGAACAGAAGAAGGAAGATCGGCGTTGGCGTGGTTGCGGTGTTGTATTTCCGTGGTGCATTCTCATTGTCTGTTTTGCCAACTTCTCGCTCACTTTCCCAATATTGGATTCCTAATATTTACCAACTTATAAATCATCTTAATAAGTGAATTAATCACATTTGAGAATTAGTAAGTCCACATTTCCAGATTCATTTCAAATATAATAATTATAATAATAATGGTTGTTATTATCATGAAAGAAAACAGAAAAATGAAATTAGTAATTACAATATCCGTATCTTACGTCACGTTTAAGGGCAGTCATATTATAGAATTTTCTCTGGATGTTTCGCCATCACCAATCAAATCAATATCAATGTTGTTTAAAGAATATTCACTCATCATCCATATATATTGTAGAATACTATGATTTGAAACTGGATAAATCAGCAATATATTCAGTGACTACATTTACTAGATTGGAAAGATATGAAAATAACTACCTATATAATTTTTAGGACTTATATTGGCTCAATATGTTTCTCATAATTTCAATATTTCTCTAATGGCCCAATGGGGAATTCATACTGTGGCCAATGTAGTGTGCTACTTTTGGGTTCTAAGAGGTCTACGATGTAGGCTTGCAAGACATCCATCTAGTAGTTTAACAATTTGATTTATTGTACGTATGTATTTATATGTTCCATTCTTACCTGTTACTTTTTTATTGTATTGTAATTGTTTTTTTTTTTTCATATCACCCTGTTTCATTAAAATCGTTTACCTAATTTAATTTTGTTATTACCTACTGTTTTATATAGAAGACATTGTAGAATAGTTTCATGTACCAATCCAACTGAAAACGTGTCTTAAATAAAATTTATTGTGAAAATTGTATAACTATTATCATAGCTACCAGTAGATTTAGATAACAAGTGATATTGCCAATACAATAAACATTTTCACATCAATGTTTTACAGAGTGTTGATTGGGAAGTGGAACTGGCAGTAGTGATAGGGAAAAAAGCGAAAGCAATAAGAAAAGACTAAGTCAATGACTACATATTCGGATACACAGTGGCTCAAGATATCAGTGCTAGAGACTGGCAGAAGAAACGGAACAACGGGCAGTAAGTCTATGGATACATTTTGTCCTCTAGGACCGGCTGTAGTCACTAAGAACAAAGTCGATCCATCTAATCTAGCAATTAAATCTTGGGTTAATGGAGTTCAGAAACAGAATGGAAATACATCGGAACTTATATTCAAGATAGACTTCTTGGTATCTTACCTGTCTCAGTAAGTTAAAAATTGTTTTCGTATAGCTCATACATATAGTTACTTACCGTTAAAAATATAGTT